TACTCTGCTGAAGCTAAACATTTTCAGGCCCTTCGAGGATCCCTCCTAGGACAGAACCATCAGACCTCTCACCATCCCCAGACTGTCCTGGAAATTGTCTAATTTGTCAGTGTCTCTCTTCAAATGTGTCAGGTAGAAATGGACACAATCCTACAAGTGTGGTTGATGAGAGCAAGGCACTATTAATTTTTGTGATATATGAACACTATACTCTTACCAGAACCTAACTCAAATTTTTTTTTTATAACCACATCATGCCGCTGGTTCATATTAACATTTTTCCTAAAGAACTGACACCATACAATATACTTCCTTCCTTTCTCACCGATGAATTATAATGCATTTATTGTATAAAGTATCTTTTTGCTTTCAGCATAGCATTGCACCCTATTTAAACAGTGTTTAAATTCTGTTATCTATTTGTAACAGCTATGCCTTGTCCAGTCATCCATGAATTTTAAAGCAAGCCTCCTAGATCATCCACAAAATGATTCATGCAAATGTTAAAGAAGAGATTACCCAGGGCAAAGGCTTGTGACCCTGCCAGGGTTACTCCCTAACTGTAACCCAGTAACCCACGCCTGATCGGCACTGGCTCCAGCCCGCTCCGCTCACACAGCAATCCTGCTAATTGCTCTACACGCCATCTCACACCCAAGAGCAGCCTGCAGCCTTGAAAAATGCTTTCCCGAGAGCAATATTCACTTATCTTTCAAAACAAAGCATAAAAGGTCTACACATATTAAAATTATAGTAATATTAAAATATGCATGCACACGGAGCAAAGCCCAGAAGGGAAGGAGAATCATTGAAAATGTTATAGTGTCAGGCTGTGGAGATGTGGGGAGAAAGGTGGTTTTTGGTTTTTTTTTTCTTTTAATTGCATATCATCTTTAATACAGTTATATTGTTTTAAAAAATAAAACAGAATTATGTAGAGAGAATTCAGCTTAAAAGCAATCTGTGTAAAATAGCTTTAAAAGCATTGAGACTATCTGTTGCTATCACCTGAAAACTAAGTAGAAAAACAGTCATTTGAAATGACTTGTTGATACCTAGAAATGCTGGGTTCTGTTTTTCTTTAAATTTTGCACTGCTGGCTTACACTTAATATTTCTGGAAATTGGGGAGACAGCAGATTGGAGAACTGTATCCTAACTTTAGATAATGTCTGCATTATAGTTTGTGTGTGTGTGTGTGTGTGTCTGTCTGTCTTCCTGTTTCTGTTGCAAATGTTAGTAAAGTATGGAAAGAAAAGTCATCATGCTGCTATATCTATGAAGCTCTGGACTGAAAGAAGGCACAGTATAAAGTCTCTCCTTCCAGCCCAAGAATCTCTAACAGACATGAACCCGTATCATCGATTCACCTACAGTCCTTTTTATACTAAGAGTAGGAGGTAGGATAAATGATAGAATATGCATTTAGCTGTTGAGAACAGAAATATGGAAAGGTAAGTTGTTGTTTTTTAAAGGAGCAAGTAGCGAAAGTGTGGATAACTAGTAGAAAAGAAAAGAAAAGAGGCTAGTTATTTTGGGGAAAATGCGATCTGTAAATACTACACTTATCAAAATCATAAATGATCTGAATATTTGACCTCAGAATTTTTTAACAAGCCAGGATTTCTTCACTGCTTCAGTATGTTCCTTAAAGGGTGATTTTCATCAATGGAAAGCTAGTGTTAGAAACTAGATCTATGTTTATCTTTACCTCTTTGTGGTTATCTCTAACTAGTTTTTATTGTGCTGTTTTCTGTCTCAATGTCTTTGAGACAAGTGAAAATTCCACTTTGCTTAGAAATATAATTTGCCCACCATACTAGAAGTTATACTAAGTACATGAGGTATAGCAACAACTGTTGTTACATTTGTGGCAAAATCTTATAAAAATGGATAAAATGAGCAATACAAAGTCCAGTTACTATTCAACAACTAAAAATGCTACTGAGTTTAGATATATAGTTGTGTACTATACTAGAAATTAAGTCAAATACAGGTAATAAATCAGCAGATTCATAGATCCATAGCATACTGTCATCAAAAAAATGTATAAAATGTCCAAAAAGAAAGTCTAGTTATTATATGACATACAAAAATTCTAGTTTGTTTTGAAATACAATTTCCTCACTCCCACATAACTTAACCTAAATACATGAGGTAAATCAACAACTTCATAGATATGTGGCAAATTGTTATAAATCAGGTAAAATGTCTAAATAGAAAATCTAGTTATTATTTGACAACCTCACTTTGTTTCAAAATACAATTTTTCCACCATAATAGCAGTTAAAATTATAGGTGGTAAAGCAACAGCTTGATAGATCCAAAGCAAACTCTTATAAAAATGGATAAAATATCCAAATACAAAGGTCAACTATTATTTAAAGGTAAATAATGTATACTAACACATCTTTCGCTTTGCATTTAACCTTGTGTAAAATGGATAAGAAACAGTCAACATCAGGAAGCAACATAGAAGAAAATCATCCAAAATTCATTGAGATACTAAATATCAAAACAATGTCTAAAGCTCTCCTGTACAGTGATATTAGTTGGGGTTTTTATTGGTTTTTGAAGAGTTTTGTTGTTGTTGTAATATCTAAAGTATTAATGCTGTTATTTTTAATATTGTTTTGTTGTTTTAGGTAACAAGAAAGTTTTACACAAACTACCTATTGATGCTGCTTTTTCCCTCGGAAAATTAAATTTCTAAGAAAAATGAAAAATTTTATATGTAGAGGAATATTTTATAACAGTGAAATATACCAAAATGATAACTATGTATGCATTACAACGGTGAGATCAGAGGAAATTCTATTCTGTTTTCTGAATTTAAATATGTAGGTACTAAGGTTGTTCATTTGAAATTTTAATTAGAAAAATTAAATTTATGGTGTATCCTTTAAAGAAAATTCTTCAAATGTAATATTATTTTATATGTAAAAGCTATTTAGGAAGCAAGAGGAAAATTAATTTGATCCTGTTTTTAATTTTTAGAAAGTATACCTATGACCTTAAAAAATATGTATTCTTTTGATTCCTATGTAAGAATACAGAAAGTATGAAAAAGCTCACTCTAATATTTACAGTCATTATTGCAGCGTGAGGAGGTTACCGGGGCTCTGGATTTTCTTTACATTTTTCTCCCTCTGTATTTTAAGACAATGATATGAATTGTTTTACAGTGAGAAAAATACTAATAATGCCTTGTTTATTTTTTTACCCCAAAAGTTCTGGGTAACATTTTGAAACAAAAAAAATCAAACTCATTCAAACTTCAAAAGTCTTGGATGGATTTTTAAACTTAAATTTTCCTTACTTTTCATCTATACTAGTTTTTAATCTCACTGTTTTTAGAAAAAAGTTCTATCCATTAACAACTAGGTAAAGTAACTGTGCATTAAAAATACAACTGCTAAGTATCGGACAGTCTAGCAGTCATCAGAACAGTACTCTACCAAATATATGAAATCCTAGAATTATTATATCTTGCAGAGAAGGGTATATACATGCATAGATTGAATTAGGAGACACTTTTTAAAAAAAAAGTATATTGTGTTCACCCAACTTCCTAGACAAATTTCTTTCATTGTTGGAAATGTATACACTTTATTCATATTTCTGATGGTCAAGATTTTATTTCTAATAAAAAGTAAGGTCTCAGTAAATGAACTGATTTCTAGAAAGGGTTGCTTTTTAAGCGTGGTCTCATCCACTTTGTCATGTACAATGGGCCAAATTCTTATTCATCCTCTAAGTATAAAATAAGCTGTAGCAATGTTAATGAAATATACTCAATTTTAGTCTTCAAAGACGAATACATTTCATCTGTTTCCGAAATCTAACTCAGTTGTAGACAATTTGATTTTCCCTTTTAACTTAAACTTCTTTCACTAAGATTAGCAACAGATTGTCAGTTTTCTTAGCGCCTAACACTCTGGGGGGATTACAAGGGAATCCGTGTTAAGGTTTTATTTAGCATCCTTCCTCATTAGTATTTTAGGGCTTTGTAACTAACTGTAATTTTTCCTAGGGCAAAAAATATGTTTATATGTATAAATTCTGGCAAATATTGGGGGACAAAAACCTCCCCAACCCATTTCAAAGAATTTATGCATTTACCACGACTAAAATCCATTCATTCACCCTACAAGATTTAGCAAAATGTAATGTTGCAGAGAGGGCGAGCTCTCTGCGGAAACCTGGCAGTCACCACCAAAAATTCGTGGCTGGGAGCCTTTAGAGCTCCCCAAGCAAGCTGGAAGCATCCTCAGCTGTTTTCCATTGGTTTTGCTTTCTCAAAATAACACCCTTGCTGGGGCAATCGGTGCTGTTTGCAGCACCTCCGGCCCCTAGCCGGGGTTGACCCTGACCTGAATGTACTGCGCGGCTCCCAGCGTTTCAAGATTCCGCTTCTCCCTTCCGTAAAGCCTAAGGAAAATAGGATTTCAGCCACGGAGAAATGCGCTTAAGAAGAAGGAAGAATCAGGTCTTTTAAATGTCACATTTTAGCCTTCCGTCTCGATCAGATTCAAGAAAAGGAGAAAGATGTGTTTGTGTAGACAAGGACGCTGATTGACACCCGTTTTCCTTGGCCACCATCTAGGCCAAGGAGCCTCAAGCGCGGGGTACTGCGCCCCACCCTGCGCAAAAGAATGGGGATCGACCCCCAGGTTGTTGCTGCTGGAATAGAGAGAAATCCACCACGGGGGCTGGGCGTGGGAAGGGGTGCCGGGAAAAGGAGCCAGAGACGAAATTTTTGTGCCGCTAAACAGGGAAGGGCTGCAGGGGCGCGGAGAAAATGAAAAGGCCGGGGTCAAGCCTGGGGAGGGCTCGACGGAGCCGGGAAGTGGGATGTGGGGTGTTCTGGAGGAGGGGTGCAATGGGGCACCAAGAGGGGCTAGCGCCCAAAGGGCGCGCCTGGGTACCCGAACCGGGAGGGGGAGGGGAGGCGGCGGCCTGGGGGGCCCCAGACCTCCACGGCGCGCGCAGGCCACTAACCTGTCAGTAAGAATGTGCCAGTGGTCGCGGGGCTCATCCTTCTTGTCCCCCGACCCTGCCTCGTCCAAGCACAGGGGTCTCCCAGCTCCCACCACCGGGGCAATTGCATTCTCGGCCTGGCTAGGCCGGCTGTCCTCGATTCTCCCCTCCCCTCCTTTTCTTTCCACCCAGCTTGGCCAGTTCAACATCAGCATCCAGCAACAACCCCCCTTCTTGATCCCTTGCTCCCTCTAGCGGCGGGCCAGTGCAGCGTGGCCACCCCCTCCACCCCATCCCCCCATCCCGCCCCCGCACCCCCTCCGCCCCCCTAGCCCGCGGAGCACGCTGGGATTTGGCGCCCCCCTCCTCTGTTCAGCCTATGTAAGGATCGCGGTCTGCGCTCAGGGTACACGCGCTTCAACTTAGGTTGGTGTGTGTCGAAGAAACCTGAAGGCGACCAGCAGAGAAGTCCACCGAGCCTCGCGGAAGGTCCGCTGAGCGGCTCCGTCCGCTCTCTGGGCGGCGGAGCACCCAGCAGGTCCCACGCCTGGCCAGGTGTGGGACTCATCCTCCCTGTCTTCGCAGAGGAGTCCTCGAGTGGTGAGTATGCGGTGAGGATTTTTTTTTTAATTTTTAAGATCACATTCATTACCCGTTTTTATCAGAAGCGACGGGAGATGGACTAGCGCCCCTGGATATCTCCACGCAAACCTTGTCACGCCTTCACTGGCTGAACCCCAAAATTGAGGAAACCAAGCCTTCGAGGCTTTGGTTTCCAGGACTCAAGTACAGAGAGGCTGTAGACAGATATGATCTGTGGACAGTAATGAGCTGCAGACGCACCTGAGCTACAGACCAATTTGCTCTTCAAATGCGCTACCAAGTGACATGTGCTACAAACCAATTGGCGCTTTTATGCGCTACAAACTGCTAACCGCTTCAGTTGCGCTACAAACTGATGCTCTATGCACTATAAACTGATGTGCGCTTCGTGCTCTGCAAACTGATGGGCGCTTCACGCGCTGCATACTGATGTGCGCTTCATGCGATACGAACTGATGGGGGCTTCCATGCGCTACAGGCTGGTGCTTCATGCGCTACAAACCTGTACGAATTGCAGCGACAGAGGAGCTGCACACCAAAGACTGATTTGCGCCTTGAACGCGCTACAAATTCTGAGCTGCAGAAGATCAGCTCTAAGAAGGTGCTGCCAAAATGATACGATTGATTCGTCCTACAACAGCGCTTCATGAGCTGTAAGGCACATGCACTGCAAAGGTACACGAGCTGCAGAACAATTTACACCTCAGATGCGCTACAAAATGGGAATTGCTGCAGAGGTAGATGAGTTTCACAGTGTTTTGCTCTACATATAAACCAAATAGAGGGACAGGAGCTGCAGAGTACAATGACCCTGGATTCTTAAGAGGGGAACCTGCACCCTTTCACCTTTTGGAATGGCTCCCATTCTGTAAGCGGGATCTCTGCATGATGGTGCTGTTAGACAAAATGGAGCCCCGGGCGAAAATTAGTGTTTAACATTCTGCCCACACCATTTCTGCTACAGCAGTGGAATGGAGGGGCACTGACTTTTGGTGATGGCAGGCAGATTGGGCTGCCTGCCTAGTTGTGCTTGATTGAAGTAGCGGTGTCGTTGTCTTGGTAGCGCAAATTGGCAGCCAGCAACAGTTTGTGAAAACTGTCGGTTTGCTGAATGTGGGGGGCGGGCGATCTTGAGGTGATTGCTCTTGCTGCATGAAATGAATCTGGATGTTGGAAGCTGCTGGGAGGGGTTTGGGGAGAGGGGACCCTGGCAGAGGCGTGCAGAGACTCTGCAGCCAGTCTCAGACCTGCCCCCCCCCCCCCCCCGTCCGAGCTAGCCCGCCTGCTCTGCAGTAACTGCACAGAGCACCCTAGCGCCTCCTTCCGAGAGCGGAGCACCTTATTCTGAGCGCCTCCCTCCTTTGCTCTCAGCGCCTACTTAGAACTCGCGCGCCTCCGCGGCAGCGCGCCTCCTAGAGCCCCTCCCCAAGGCTAGTCTCCTCTGAGGCGCAGGCCCAAACCCCGCCTCCCTCTGAGCCCGCCTCCTCTGAGGTGGCCTGCCCAGACCCTGCCTCTCCTCCCAAAGCCCACCTCCTCTGAGTGAGGCATACACCCCCCCCC